GATGTGTTGTGTACATATGGCTGGATTACAAAAGTATTACAACACAATTTGCTACAAAAGAGCTTTCAGTAATTAACTTGAACTTGTGCTAGTTCTGCCCTTCCTAAAAAGGCATCTCTTTTCATTTGTTTGTACCAAAACAGCTGGAAAGAAGCCTGAGGTCCAGTGATTGATGGTGCCCCCTCCTACTTCCTTTTGCCTACCTTCCTCTGCACTTTCAGCCTAATTTAGGTGAAAATGGCCTAGCAGTTGATGGGGTGGGGCTATTCAAAAAAGCTTTGCCAGTTTTCACTTTCCTATCTCCAACTGCAATTAGAGACCCCAGTTGGGAGCCAGATGAGAAACTATCAGGAGGAGGGGATCTTGTCGGAAATGTTCTTCTGGAAGGTTGTGTTCAGTTTCAGGGATTCAGTACCTCCCAGTGGAGAATTGTCTAGGTAGTTGGAGATAAAGACTCTGACCTCTGGGAGCTCAGCTCTTACTGGAGAATAAAGGCAGACAATCAAGGAAATCACCAAAAATGTGCATCCCAGATGGGCAAAGACTACACTAGATAGAAAGGCTCCTCTCCCCAGCCCCCACCATGGCTTCTTATTGAAGTGTGACTTTGTCTGTCTCTGTCTTGATTTCCCTTCTCTCTTCATTCACTTGGAGCAAGACAAGACTCACACCCAGACCTCCAAACTCCAAGTCTAAGGAAATGAATGAAATGTTATTGAGGATCTACTTGGTACCAGGTACTCTTTTAGGTACTACTTTTGGAATATATTAGAGTCACACAGACCTAAGGCATTTGACCTCTCCCAACCTCAATTGTCTCTTCTCTAAGTTGATGACATGGAGTACTGCTAGGAAGATTTTTTGAGTTTAGTTATTTATCAAACATTCAATTAATGCTTCGTATGTTCACTTTATAAATGTTAACTCATTTAATCCCTGTAATAATCCAACAAGGTAAATTCTACTGTTATCTCTATTTTTCAGATAGGGACACTAAGGTTTTAGGAAATTAGTGAGTTCAGTGAAGTTTACATAGTTAGTAAATGTTGATACTGAGATTTGAATCTAGACTATCTGGCTTTCTATCAGTGCTCTTAGCCGCTATACTATGCCACCTCATATGTGGTAAAGTATATGAGAAAACAGTACAGTACCCACCATATTATGGGCATCCAATAAATGATGACCCTCCCCTTCTTCATTTAAAAAAATTTTATTGCAATCCTCACAGTAGGTATTATCTCCACTTTACAAATGAGAAAATGGAAATCAGAAAAGTTTAATAACATGCTCAAGAATATACCACTAGTAAATAGTGGATCTGGGAATTAAACTGGGAAACAACTGGCTCCTGTGTCAGCGTCATTTCCCTGTATCATGCAGTATGGAAACTACTAGTATGAAATGACCTAGACCAGTGGTGGATGGTGCTTGTTAAAGATGGTCTTTGCTCCCTAGTCACAAGCAGAGAATGTGGTGGAAAGAGGGGCTTCCACCTACTCTCCAGGAAGGCCCTGTATGTTTACAACCATTAAACATATTCAATAACTGGTGGTATCAGAGTCTCAGAATCTCATCACTTTTTAGGAAGGACATTATGATTCCCAGCTGCCCATTTCCCTCTGTGAGAGGCCCTACACAGGACCCTTTTGCACATTTAGAATTCTAAGTAAGCCTTCATCATATTCATCATCACCATTGTTGTCATGATCTTTGGCTTCTCAGGAAGCCAATCATCAGTATTATCTTCCTCATAGCTGCCATTTATTAAATGCTTTTCAGATGCTATTCTAGGCACTTAACATGTATTAGCTCATTTAATCCTCACAATAATGTTATGCAGAAAGGACTATTACTATTTCTGCCTCATATGTGAGGAAGTGGAGGCCCAGAAGGGTAAGTAACTAACTCAAGGGCACATGGTCTTGAGTTAACAGCCTTTCCAGAGTTTACCTTGGAAGATGTTGATTATTATGAAGTTGTTACTAGTTGCTATGACAAAGCCGAAGGCATAATAGTAACCAAAGAACTGGATTTTTAAGAGAACTTCTAAAATCAGACCCTTCCCCTGTAAAGTGAACTCCTACCTCCAAAATAAGAGTCAGCAACCTCTGGCACAAAACGTGCATATATTTCATCCCTGCTGTGGGAAGCATGTAAAGAGGGCTACAGACTGGGAGATTCCCAGATTGTAAGGTATAGTCCAGTTGTAACCTTGCTCTCAACTTACCATGTGACCTTATACAAGCAAGTTCTACTCTCTAGGCCTCATCTATAAAATGTGGATGATAATACCTGTTTTATTAACAGTATAGTGTAATTGAGAATGTTGAAGAAGGTGGATTAAGTGTAAAGTATCTTACCAATACAAAGAATAGATACCTTACTTTTCTTACTCTCCTCCTCCTTTTTCTTTCATCCATCCCCTGGGGTTTATCTGCAGCAAAACTTTGGCTGCAGGGTCACATTTAGGCAAAAGGAACACAGTTTAGAGGCAGACAAACTTGGATCTACTCTTTCCAAGTTATTCGTTGGTTATTACTTTTCCACTTTTGAGCCTCAGTTTTATCATCTGCAGAAATGAACACATACAACACCTTCCTCGCAAGGTTATTGTCAGAAAATGTGGTAGATTGCAAATACGGCAGTAATTTCTCCCATTTCTGAAATGTATGCAGCAACTCCCATTAAGAGAAGTCTATTTTCCCACCTCTGAAAATCTAAGCTGATCCTGTGACTTGCTTTGATAGAGTGCTGCAGCAACAGTATTACTATATGTCTTATGGTTTCATACCATACAAGGTCTGGCAACTTTGTTTTTCACCCTCTTTGGAAGCTAGCTACCAGGTGAAAATGTCTGACTGCTATAGAAAGATGCCATATGGAAAAAGAGAGGCTCTGGAGGAGAAAGACTACAAAAAGGTGCTAGGCGCTAGATTTGTTCCAGCCACCTCCAACTGAGGAACCAGATGAAAATACAATCATCTTGGATCCTCCAGCCCCCAGCCAAGCTGACTTGAGGAATACCACATGGAATGCAAATGAACCATTCCCAGCCAGGCCTGCTCAAACTGAAGAATCATAAGTAAATAAATGTTGCTTGTTTTAAGACTGTAAATTTTAGGGCAATTTATTTCACACAAACAGATTAAAAAAAACAGAAAGACTAAATGAGATAGTAATGTCCTACCAAGTGGCTGGCCATGGGTAGGCTCTCAAGACATGATTATTCCTTTCCCAGTCAGAAGGCTTGCCTGGCTGGTGGTGCTCTGAAGTCTTATTACTTTCACTATAACAGAATTAACAGACATCACTTCCACTGTGCTAAGGATGCAGACCAATGATCATCACCTGTATTTTAAAGGGACCCTGTGAGGCCTATACAGATTGTATATCCCCAATTGCACAGCAAGTGACTTCTCTTTGTCCTGAGTGAGCCTGGGCCAAAGCTTGCAGCTGGACAAAACCTCAGTTGATAAGAGTAATGTCAGACAAGTATGAATAGTATTTCTTTTGACAGATCATCCAATATAATAATCCCAGAGACCCAGAGAAGGAAATTAACACTTATTGAGTGCTTATGACTTGCCCACAACAGCCTCTTTAATTTAAATAAGTGCTACTATGTTCCCTATTTTGCAGATGAGGACAATAAGGTACAGAGAAATTCTGGTCAGCCATTAGGCTCCCTGGGAAGCACTAGCAATTAGTGGAGGATAGGAGAGTAATTAGGGAGCTCTTGGGACCAATACTCATGAATGGGAAGGGAAGGCAAGGCAGGGCCAAGCAAGGCAAGGGGACAGGATTGGAAAGAAGACGAACTGTAAGGTAGTCATAATGGCAACCCTAGGACCTTTTATAGGGATCTCTAAAGCTAGGATGCCCCTTCAGAGTTCTTCTCTATTGTATTCCTACAGAGTACTAAGCTTTTCTATCCCTCTATCAATTGGTTAGTAGATACCTAGTTCCTGATTTCAGGTCCAAAGTTATTTAAATCACCTCTATCATCAAGCCATTCCCAAAGGGAGAAATGCTTTAAGAGGGAAAAGAGTGATCATGAAGAAGTAGAAAACATGAGCTCTGGAATCAGACAAATCAGGCTTCAAATCCTGAAACATCCTCTTATTAGCTATTTAATTCTAGACAAGTTATTTAACTTCTCTGTAGCTCAGTTTATCTTTGTTTTAGAAAATTACAATATTTAGTTTTTAGTAAGGCATGGTAACGAAAGCCTCAAATTCCAGCATTAGGGAGGTGGAGGCAGGAAGATCAAGAATTTGAGGCCAGCCTGGGCTATATAATGAGACTCTGTCTCAGAAAAAGAAAAAAATACTTAGCTTATAATGTTGTTTTGAAAATCAAATACAATCACTTGTATAAAGCATCTTGCATAGGTAGCTGGCACAAAGTAGATGCTGAATAAATGGAGTTGTTATGATTACTGGGTAAATTATATGGCTCTGGTGCATGGCTTTCTCACTTACAAGTTGGAGTGAATAAAAGAAAAGGGCTTGGTGTTATATTTTTTGTATTATCCAGTACATAGTAGGCATGCTATTAGCATTTACTCCAATGAACAAATGTTTATTTAAAAGGATTTATACAGACATAACACTCTTACTTTCAAAAGGCAGAGGAGCCTTTGGTATTATGAGCACATACATTGTGGCAACTTAAAACTACAATTAAGGAAAGAAGGAAAAATATCCCTCCTTGCCAGCCAGGGACTGAGATCTAGGACTAAAACCTTTTCAGGTATTCAACCCCCATCTTCATCCCTTAAGTCTAAGAGTGACTTACTAGGAAACCTAGTTTTGGTGGAGAGAGTTGTGGGGCTTGAGGAGCTTGATGCTTTTTCTTTTAGAAAGAAAGGTCATTTTTACAATCCACAGGAAAGGGGTGGCCAGCAGCTTTCCTGAGTTGAGGCTGCCTTATAGAAGACAGATCTAAGAAGGGAGGGGTGAATGGAAAGAAAGCCCTACCCACTTACTTGCGTAAAGTAGCACTCATTTGAATGTAAATCCACTCCTCTCCTCTCAATGATATACAATTGAGCAGGTACCAGAGTAATGATTTTGAACACAAACCAATACCAAAGTCAGCCTGGGGCCCCTCTCAGTCAACTCCTATAGTATAGCTCTCAGCCCTGGCGGTGAGCTAGGTAGGATCTATAGAGCAGGTTTGGCGTCCTAATTTCACTGTGGGGAAAGACCAGAGGTATGGGGAAAGGCCCACAGATTTTAGAATTCCCAGACACACAGTCTGGTGCCTAAAAAGTTTAGTGTATCTGAGAGGTTTGGGTGGGGAGAGCTATAGAATCACATCTAGGCCTCACAAATGAATATAAAAAGGAAAGTTTGTCCAACCTATCTCTGGGCCTTAAGCATAAGGATGGGGGTGGAGGAATAGATGCACACAGCAAGAAGACAGTTGTCCCTTCAGAGCCTAAGGCAAAAGTATAAGGAAGGGAAACATTGGAGCATTTTCCTGAAACAAAGTATGGGCCTTCTCCAGACCTCAGACCCTATAGTTTCTTAGGCTCCAGGCATCAGGCATAGGAGACACAGTCACATCTGGGCCTTCTTCCTTGCTGTCATCTTCAAACAAGGGCAGTGGTTGAAATGTGGGTAGGAGAGAAGGGTCGTTAGACATAGTCATTAGCACCTGAACAACATCTTTTCCTAAACCAGAAATCCCAAGAGTAGAGAGAAATGAGAAAATGAGAGTGGGGTTGTGCTTCCATCACATTAAATAGACTTGGTGCGGGTGGGGAAGGGTTTTCACATCAGGATATCAATCTCTCTGGCCAAGGGAAGGGCTTATGATGAGCCGAGGTTACGTGTTCTCCTCTTCATTCATCCTGCTTCCGCTTGGGCTTTTTGGGGTTCCGGGACCGACTCTTGGCTTTGCAAAGAGGGCATATAGGTGCATTCCGGTGAATTTGCTGGTGACAAGACAGACAGGCCTGGCAGCAGGCATAGGACAAAGTAAGTTAATGGTCATATTCTTCTAGACCATAGCTCAGACTTCTGATCCCCAGGGGCCCAGAAAGCAACTTTGATTTTCCATCAGTAATTAGTAAGGCCATAATAGACATCTGTGTCTGTGTCTTGGAAGCCATAGAAGATGGGAGTGAAAGATATAACTGAAGTCAGAAAGGGATGTTAAAAATGTATGCAAAACTTGGCAATAAGGCTAAATGAGGACTACATGTTTATAGAACATTATACTGGAATATTGTCTCTAAGAGGCTCTCCCTAGGATTGTTTAATTTTTTTGGACAAAGTTCAGTAAACTTTTTTTCTGTAAGAGCCAAAGTAGTAAATATTCTAGACTTTTCACATTATATAGTCTTTGTTGAAATTACTCAACTGTATTTTATGTTAAGATTCAGTACATAAACAAAAAAAGCACACATGTATGCAAGTAAATCCTTAACAAAAGCAGGGAGCAGGTCAGACTTGACCGTGAACTATAGTTTGTTGACCCTGCTCTAGTAGAATGTCTCTTTGACTATTTACTATTGATCGGACTCTGTGGTGTTACACTGATAAGCTGCAAATGGTTTTTGTCCAAATGGACATGCTAATTATTTGTTAGAAGAAAAGGTAACTGGAAAAGTCACAGATTTATTGCCCTGTAGAACACAAGACAATTCTGTACCTGACTTTACAAATTTATTTTAGCATTTCTTTCCTTTCTTAACTATACAAATGTTCTGAGAATCTGTTTTGTAGTCCTGAGGGCTTCCTCATTAATAACACATGCTCACTATATATTTATATAGAAGTGATATTTCCAATTTTTAGAAAGTTATATTTCAGCAGGGCCTGTTAATCTCCCTGCATTCTAATCTATCTGGAAAAGTGAAGCAATGAAACCAGTGGGACCAATATAGCACCCCTTCCTCTGTGTCCCTAGCAAAGGCTATTTAAGGAAGACCCAAAATAAATAAGGTCAAAGCTTCAGACCCAGCATTCCATAGGCCTTCTATGGGAGGATACTATGCTTCCTCCATAGCCCCACTCTAGCTCACTTACCTTCATAGGTGGAGGCTGCTGCCTGAAAGTGGCCGTTTGCCGAGTATCCTGCTTCCTGGCCACTTGGAGTTGTTGGGCAGCAGCAGCTGCAGCAGCCAGGGACTCAGGGATTGGGGGCTCTTGTGGCTCCGTCTGCCATTCTGCTTTCTGCTTCTCAAAATAACTTTGGAGATGAAAGACATTGGCTGGATCATTCTGAAAGCAAGAACCTTGCCCCTCTTAAAGTCTCCATACCAGAGAACCAAAGGTTGGACTATGGCTCTCTCTAGAAATTTACTATACCCTCCCCAGCACAAAGTTTTTTCCCTGGGTAACAAGCCCATTGTTGCTAGGAAATCCTCCTGCTTCTTAACTCTGGCAGACCCAGGTGATCAAGAAATATCAGTGCTAGGAAGGTTCTTAAAAGACATTTAGTCCTATCCTTCATCCCATCTTCATTTGCAGTCTTCCCATTAAGTGTCCCCAGGCCTATGTTTATATACCTCTAAGAATCAGAAGCTCACCACTTTCACATGTAACCTACTTTACCTTTAGGAAACGCTTCCTTCTGTTGGGCTGAACTCTTGTCTCCCTTTAAGGTAAGCCTAGTTCTTAACTGCGGGTCTTGAGATTAAATCCCAAGATAGCCCTGGAGACCATGAAAGCTTAGCCTTTTGTGTTTTCAAACATTGCTGGAAGCTTTTATTTTTAACCCTGAACTGAGATGGGACTGTTTTTTTTTGGAGTAACTGGGGTTTCAACTCAGGGCTTTGTGCTTGCAAAGCAGGCACTCTGTGACTTGAGCCATACCTCCAGTACATTTTGCTTTGGTTATTTTGGAGATGGTGTCTCACAAACTATTTTCCCAGGCTGACCTCAAAGCATGATCTTCCTGATCTCAGTCTCCCAAATAGGTAGGATTACAGGCATGAGGTGCCAGTACCTATCTGAGAGGAGACCATTTATAAGTCATAGGTAAATTCTTATACTGTCAAAGTCAGAAAGAATTTTAAAAGCCATTCTAAAAGTAATTCCAGTCTAATCATACTTCTTCTGGTGTGATAGCCTAGCACAGAGACTTGCCTAAGGTCACAGAATGACTCAGCCACTGACAGACCTAAGGACTAAGTACTTGGACTCTCAGGCCAGGCTTTGTGTGTGTGTGTGTATTGAATGAATATATATATATATATATATATATATATGCCTTTGTGTGAGTGTGTGTGTCTCTTTGTCCGTGTGTGTGTGTGTGTGTCTCTTTGTCCGTGTGTGTGTGTGTGTGTGTGTGTGTCTCTTTGTCCGTGTGTGTGTGTGTATGTGTGCCTATGTGGTATGTTAGGGACAGGGGGCAGGGAGCTTACTCCAGGGAGAGTTTCTCCTCCTCTTCACACAAATCAGGAAGCCTCTGTAGACCCAAAGTCATGCGCAGGGCATCTACATGTTCCTTCAGTGGCTTATATTCATCATGCAGTCGCCGGGTAGACTCTAGCAACTTGTTCAGGTCATTCTCAGACTGTTTGATGGTGTTTTCCATCTGGAAAATAGAGTAGGGTAGGCATAAAGAAAAGATCCCAAAGTTCTAAAAGAGGCTTTATAATTGACTGGATAATAGCACAAACTCCAGTTAGACCAATCTATGTTGAAGATCTTGACCTGTCATCTTCTTTCTACATGACTCTAGTCAAGACTCAGTTTCTTTTTTTTGGACAGGGGTTTGAACTCAGGGCTTCAAGCTTGCGAAGCAGGCACTCTACCACTTGAGCCACACTTCCAGTTCTAGCCTCAGTTTCTTAATCTCTATAATGATGAGAATTTAATAGTGTATACCTCATGCAATCTTGGGGAAGACTGAATGATCAAACTCATACAAAGCACTCAATACAAGGGCTAACTGAGTAAAACCTCAATAATTGTAATTATTATTCAAATATAGCATCTTAGAACTGGAGTGGCCTTTAGTGTTCACTTAGTTCACCCTACCATCATTTTACAAGTCAGAGAACTGAGGGTCAGAAAGAAAGGGCTTCCCCAGGAAGATACTAAAGGACAAAGGTTGTATAAAGATTCAGAACTTCTGTCTTCCAGAACACTGACTTTTCTTCTAGGTCAACTGTTCTCAAAATATGTTTGCCAGATACAGATCAGCAGCATCAGTATCATTTGAGAACTCAGAAATGGAAATGCTCAGGCATTAACCCAAACTATATGGGACTAGAAGCTCTGGGGTGGTGTTGAGGCAGGCTTAGATAGGAAAAGTTTGGGAATCTTAATACATATATGACTTAATATTATATTTCAGGTTGAACATTATTCTCTTTCTCTGAGCCTTTTTTTATTCGTTAAGTTCTAGTGTTACTTTTTCTTTCTTTCATTTTATCATTTTTACATTTACTTACATGTGCATACATTGTTTGGGCCACCTCGTCCCCTCCGGCCCCCATCCCCTGCTTCCGGGCAGAACCTGTTCCACCCTCTTGTTCCCCAATTTTGATGAAGAGAAAACATAAGAGACAAGAAGAAAGACATAGCATTTTTGCTATCTTGAAATAAAGATAGCTATACAGAGAGATTCCTAGTGTTGCTTCCATGCACTTGTGCATTGCAACCCACTTTGGCTCATCTCTCCAGACCTCTTCACTACTTCCTGGCCACCTTCCCATAGTGGCCTCTGTCAGTTTAAGATTATTATATTCACTTCTCTACAGGGAGCACATCAAACACTTTCAAGTTTTAGGTTTCTTTCCCTTTCCCTATTCCTCCCATGTGCATTCTCCCCTTAGTGTGTGACCCATGTCCAATAATATTACTGCATTAGTTTTAGGTCTGTAATCTGCATATGAGGGCAAATAGGCGATTTTTGGCTAACTTCACTTAAGATGATGTTTTCCAGTTCCATCCATTTACTTGTGAATGACAAAATTTAATTCTTCTTTGTAGCTGAGTAAAATTCCATTGTGTGTAAGTACCACATTTTCTTAATCCATTCATCGGTAGTGAGGCATCTTGGCTGTTTCCATAGCTTGACTATTGTGAATAGTGCTGCAATAAACATGGGTGTGCAGGTGCCTTTGTAATTACCTGAGTCACATTCCTTTGGGTATATCCCTAGGAGTGATGTTGCTGGATCATATGGCAGATCTATGTTTAGTTTTTTAAGAAGCCTCCATATTGTTTTCCAAAGTGGTTGTACTAGCTTACATTCCCACCAGCAGTGTATGAGGGTTGCTTTTTCCCTGTGTCCTCGCCAACATTTGTTATTGGTGGTGATCTTGATGGTAGCTATTTTAACAGGAGTAAGGTGGAATCTTAGTGTGCTTTTGATTTGCATTTTCTTTATGGCCAAGGATGGTGAGCATTTTTTTCATGTGTTTTTTTTGGCTATTTGGACTTTTTCCTTTCTGTTTAGTTCAGTTGCCCACTTCTTTATTGGTTCATTAATTTGGGGGGAGTTTAGTTTTTTGAGCTCCCTGTATATTCTGGTTATCAGTTCTTTGTCTGATGTATAGCAAGCAAATGAGTGTGTGGTCTCTTCAATTTAGAGACCATTTCTTTTGCTGTGCATTATATTTTTAATTTCATGTAGTCCCATTTATCCATCCTTTCTCTTAGTTGTTGGGCTACTGGAGTTCTACTGAGAACGTCCTTGCCTATACCTATTGCTTACAGAGTATTCCCTTGCTCTTTCATGTACTAACTGCAAGGTTTTGGGTCTGATATTAAAGTCCTTAATCTACTTTGAGTTGATACTAGTACAGAGTGATGGGCATGGATCTAGTTTCAGTTTTCTGCAGGCAGATAACCACTTTTCCCAACAACATTTGTTGAAGAGGCTGTCTATTCTCCACCGTACGTTTTTGGCGCCTTTGTCAAAAATAAGGTGGATTCATATCTGGGTCCTGTATTCTGTTCCACTGGTCTTCATATTTGTTTTTGTGCCACTACCATGCTGTTTTTATTGCTATGGCTCTGTAGTATAGTTTGAAGTCGGGTATTGTGATACCTCCAGCATTGCTCTTCTTGCTGAGTATTGCCTTGGCTATTTGCAGTCTCTTGTGTTTCCATATAAATTTAATGGTAGATTTTTCAATCTCTTTGGTGAATGTCATTGGGATTTTGATGTGAATTGCATAGAACATGTAGATTGCTTTTGGTAGTATAGCCATTTTACTATGTTGATCCTGTCAATCCATGAGCATGGGAGCTCTTTCCATGTTCTGCAGTCTTCCTCAATCTCTTTCTTCAGTAATTTGTAGTTCTCCACGTAGAGGCCATTTACATCCTTCATTAAGTTTATTCCTAGGTATTTGATTTTTTTGAGGCTATTGTAAATGGAATTGTTTTCCTATATTCTTTCTCAATTTTTTTCATTGTTGGTGTATAGAAAGGCTACTGGTTTTTGTAAGTTGATTTTGTATACTGCTACATTACTGAAGCTGTTTATGGTGTTTAGGAGTTTTTGGGTGGAGCTTTTTGGGTCTTCGAGGTATAGGATCATGTCATCTACAAATAGAGATACTTTGCTATTTCTTTACCTATTTGTATTCCTTTTATTTCTTCGTCTTGCCTTATTGCTCTGGGTAGGAATTCCAGGACTACGTTGAATAGGAGTGGAGAGAGTGGGCACCCTTGTCTCATTCCTGATTTTAGGGGAAATGGTTTCAGTTTTTCCCCATTAAGTATGATGTTGGCTAATAGTCTGTCATATATAGCCTTTATAATATTGAGGTACATTCCTTCTATTCCTAGTTTTCTTAGAGCTTTTATCATGAAGTGGTGTTGAATCTGATCCAAGGCTTTTTCTGCATCTATTGAGATGATCAAGTGGTTTTGTCTTTGCTTCTATTAATGTGCTGCATTACATTTGTTGATTTGCATATGTTGAACCATCCCTGCATCCCTGGGATGAAGCCGATATGGGCATGGTGAATGATCTTTCAGCTATGTTGGATTCAGTTTGCCATTATTTTATTGAGGATTTCTGCATCAATGTTCATTCAGGAGAGTGGCCTGTAGTTCTCCTTTTTGGATGTGTCCTTGTCTGGTTTCAGGATGAGTGTAATGCTGGCTTCATAGAATGAATTAGGCAGTGTTCCTTCCCTTTCTATTTTGTGGAAAAGTTTAAGGAGTGTTGGTATTAGTTCTTTAAAGGTCTGGTAGAGTTCAGCAGAGAATCCATCAGGTCCTGGACTTTTCTTTTTTGGGAGACTCTTTATTGCTGCTTCAATTTCATTTTGTGTTATAGACATGTTTAGGTGGTTAATATCCTCTTGGTTCAGTTTTAGATGGTCATAAGTATCTAGAAATTTGTCCATTTCTTTAAGATTTTCCCATTTATTGGAATATAGGTTCTCAAAAGTAGTTTCTCATGATTCCCTGGATTTCCTTGGTGTTTTTTGTTATGTCCCCTTTTGTGTTTCTGACTTTACTAATTTGGGTGTTTTCCCTCCTCATTTTAGTCAGATTTGCCCAGGGCTTGTCAATCTTGTTTATTTTTTCAAAGAACTAGCTCTTTGTTTCATTGACTCTTTGTATGGTTTTTTGGTTTCTATTTCATTAATTTTGGCCCTCATTTTTATAATTTCTCTCCTTCTGCTTGTTTTGGGTTTTGCTTGTTCTTGTTTTTCTAGGAGTTTGGAATGTAGCATTAGATCTTTCTGTCCTTTTAATTTTTGTGCTTATGGTCATAAACTTTCCTCTTAGGACTGCCTTTCCTAGATCCCATAGGTTCTAGTAGGTGGTGTTTTCATTTTCATTAGCTTCCAGGAATCTTTTGATTTCCTCTCTTATTTCTTCTATGAACCACTGATTGTTGAGTAATGTGTTATTCAGCCTCCATGTATTTTGCATATTTTCTGTTGTTGTTTTTGTTGTTGAGTTCTAGTTTTAATTCATTGTGATCAGATAGAATGCAGGGGGTTATTTCTACCTTCTTATATTTGCTGAGGCTTGCTTTGTGCCCTAAGATATGATCTATTTTGGAGAAAGTTCCATGGGCTGCCGAGAAGAATGTGTACTGTGCTATTGAGGGATGAAGTATTCTGTAGGCATCAGTTAGGTCATTTGATTTATGGTGTCATTTAGTTCTAGAATTTCTTTATTGATTTTTTGTTTGGATGACCTATCTATTGGTGATATAGGAGTATTAAAGTCTCCCACTACCACCATGTTGGAGTCTATATGTGCTTTTAAGTCCTTTAGTATATGCTTGATTAAATTGGGTACACTAACGTTGGGTGCATATAGGTTGATAATTGTTATTTCCTTTTGGTGTATTTCCCCTTTTATTAGTATGAAGTGTCCTTTTTTTATCTCATTTGATCAATGTAAGTTTGAAGTCTACTTTGTTTGATATAAGTATTGCTACTCCTGCCTGTTTTGGGGAGCCTCTCTGAGCCTTTCTTTTTCAATTACAAATATGTATAGGTTATTCACACCCTGGTCCAGGGACAATGCAAACCACTTTAGCTCAGGAACCACCCATGCCCCTCCCCATTCATCAATTACTGGTGGTCAGGAATCACCAGGTTTTTCCCCTCCCTGTAGGTTAGCGTAGGGTTGAAAAGTACCTGGAAAGAGAAAAACTCTCTCTCCTTCAGCCTCATACCTGGTCTACCATGGCTGTTTCTAACTTTTTCCATAACTTTTAATAAACCCCATTATCTCCCTTACTACACCCACATGTCCTGCCTGGATGCTTCCATGTGGGACACAAAGAATTTGGGAATCTTCTGACCAGAGACTACGTGAGCCAACAAAAGTATCTCACATTTTGTGTTTTACACAAGCCCTCCAGGTGATTCTGATATTCTAATCCGAGATCCACTGGCCTGAATCTTCAACCCCTCTGTGGCAAATATCTTGTTTACTTCATTGTCTCTGTATCCCTCCTTAGCTATAATTTCTCATGAGACCCAGAATCCTGTGATCTCTAACATAGAAAATCCCAAGGGCTTACTGTACAAACCTCATTTATATTTTCGTTAAGATCCTAGGTCTGACAACATCAGGAAATGACTAATGCCACAGAATTGAGTTTCTCAAGAATAAAAACACCATCAAAAAGGAATCAAAAATATTGTCATGGGCTCTAAGGATTAGAAAGGACCTTATAAATCAGCACCTCCAACCTACTTCCTAGTGAAAGAATCACCAATACAGCAGCCTAGAGTCTGTTTGAATAACTCCAAAAGAGGGGATCTTATTTCAATAGAGACAGTTTCCCATGTTCCAAGAGTCTCTGAAAGAGAAACTTTAATGAGGGTGCTCCACTTTGGTAGGTATGCAGAGATGATTTGTTCATTCTGTTTGGAAGCTTTGCAATACCTTAAGCTATACCCCAGAGGTAGATGCCTAGTCTACTTTTCCACAAGGATATTTCTTAACTCTCAGACTTCCAGAATAAGAGCACATCAGAACTAAAAGAGCCCTAGGAGGTTTCTGACTCCCTCTCATAGTACAGAGAGGAAAAAATGAAGCCCAGAAAGAAGGAACTTTTCCAGTGATGTTAGTCACTCAGTGACAGAGTGAGGGCCTGTCTCAGAACTCCTGGATTCTTCCACTACCCAACATTGTAATGCCTGTTCCCTGAGGGTGGCCACATACCACATTGATGTCAGCATGGATCAGTCGAAGTTCCTCCACATGAGCCATCTTCTCCTGTAGCAGTAGGTCCATCTCTTGTTTATATTCCTTCAGGTGCCTCTCCTCTGACTCAAGTGCCTCAAACTCAGCCTTCAAACGGGCTTTGATCTTCTCCATCTGCAGGGTTTTGTTCCTGCAATTTCCCAGAAGCAGAAAACAGGTCAGCAGAAGAAGTGAGGGAAATAGAAATGAAGAACAGAGTTAGGCCCTGAGCCAGGGCATTCTTTTAAGCCATCATTTCAACTTCCCTCTCATGGTAGAAGTCAACAGCAGAAGCATCCCAAGAAAAGTTAGGAGATGCTTTCTAAGACAAAAACTCACTGCTTTACAAGTGGGGTAATTTTTTTCCCTTGGGGCATTTGCAAATATGGGGCAGATTTTGGGATTAATTCAAGGGAGAACACTAGTGACATTTAATGCACATGTGACAGAGGTACTAAATAGCCTCTCAACGCACAGGAAAGTTCCACACCACAAAGAACTCCCACCCAACAATGCAACAGGAATGCTTTGAGAAACTCCAGAAGGGGCACTATCCAATAGAACTTTCTGAAAGTGATGAATAATGTTTTGTATCTGCAATTTCCGAAAACAGTAGCCTAGGCACACGTGGTGGCTAATGAGCAACTTGCAATGGTAGCTAGTGCAATTGAGGAACTGTCATTTTCTTTTTTTATTTTCTCCTCCTACCTTCGTCCTCCTCTTTTTTAACTGCAGATTGAACTCAGGCCTCACACTAG